AATAAATTACTTTCACTTTTTCTAATTTTTCAACTTGATCATATTGTTATTACTCAGTGAATAAAATATTTTTTTAATGATATTACTTCCCTTACAACGTATGCAAATTTTTTTCTTTCAATAAATATTGCCATCCATTATCTTTGACGTTTTTCAAATAATAACAGCAACGTTGCACGATTAAAAAGAAGTAAAAAAATACGGGRAAAAAATAAATAAGTTATTTACCGTCCTATAGTCGGTCCGGATAGGGAAAAACTGTGCCCTCGGTCTTGAAAACGGACCTCGGCCTAACGGCCTCGGTCCGTATATTCAAGACCTCGGGCACAGTTTTTCCCTATCCGGACCTCCTGGCCGGTAAATAACATATATATCCTTTTGAAACAATTTTATCAGCCTTAAGTTTTAAGAACTGACTGAAGTTTCCTGAAATTTTGGAAGACATTTTTGGGTGGCTTGGTGTTCTTATAAAAGTTTGAACTGCAAACTATCCAACTCTACTTACATATATATACGACACCGTGTCTGGGAATCTAACCCGACTCAAAGTGAGATGTGAGCGCTCTCACCGCTGTCACTCATGCTTCTCTATTATTGTGTTTATAAATACACTGTATTATTTAAAAAAGGGGGACAGAGGGGGTGGGGTGGGGGGTGGGGGTGGCACGACAGTTGCACCGCATTTGCCGAGGTCGCAATTCTTGCTATCACTTTCAGTTTTGGTACCACCACATGATGTCCCTACTGCACTGTGAGTGATAAGACTTACAAGTTTGTTTTGTTTTGCAGTTACTATTCCAGACACGAAATCCTGGTGTGAAATTCAAGTACACAATACCAAAGAAGGACATCGAAAAAGTAAAAAATACGCTTCAGTTTAATTGGCGTTACAGGGACTGGTCACCATGCTCGACCACTTGTGGCATAGGTGAGGAAAACAATTAGACGGTTTCGAAGATGCTCAAGCGCTTTCATAAATATCGCAGTCGCAGATATTAAAACGAGGCATTTTCGGGCAGTGTGATACCACTGGAAACCATAGAATTCAAGGCGATTTCTAAAACCCTTGAAGGAAAGATTTTGTTTGAATTGAGCTTTATTTTTTCAAAAAGTAATTATCTTTTCCCCAACCAAACGAAACTTCAAAATATTCCTTCGTTAACACAATTTTCAAAGTTTTGTATGTGTTTTCTCTCTTGAACAAAAGATTCTTTGTTTGAGGCCCCGTCCACACGTATCCGGAAATTTTTGTATCCGCAAATTATTTTTTTGCGGATACGAAAATGTTTGCGTCCACACGCAGCGTATTCGAATCGTCACCATCCACACGTATCCGTTTTCGTAAAATTTCCGGATACGGACACAAAAATTTGCGGACACGTGTGGACGGCGCCTGAGTTGTATCCATATTCATTTATCTTCTCGTGCGCAACCGTTAACAAACAATGAATTTTGAATTTTGGTGTAACAAGCTTTATTGTTTTCTGGGTTAGTGTTTTTGTTTGCAGGATATTGTTAGCTCCAAATTAATTTATACTGTCAGGTACCCAGCGGTCAGATGTCATATGCTACGAACACATTGGGAACTCACCTGTTGACGATAGATATTGTAATGGTACAGAACGACCTGACGATAAACAACGCGCCTGTAACGAGAACCCTTGTCCTGCCACGTAAGTACAGGCCTAGAAAACACGGGATATCATATAAGACTACGACAATATATTATTCAGGATATTATGTGCAAACTTTTCATATGGGATCCCTTTAATATATGGGAGTTGGTATTTATATTGTCTGTGTAGTATTCGTATTACTAGTCCCAAGGAATGCTCATGAAAATTTGTTGGGATCCAAAATGGCGGGAATGATAGTCACGTGAATAGTTGGTGAATATTTTACCAAATGTCTTAAGACTAATGCTGCTGAATTTTTCTGAAAACGTACTCGAGGAGAATGAACACTTGTATTTAGTTGAAGGCAAAAAAGCAATATAAGAGCAGTCAGGGACGACTGCATGGGAATAAATAGCCGCTACTTTGGTCCAAAGACGTCATGAGAGCATCAGTCTCGCCTACAATAGGGGCTTTACAACTTATGTTATTGTTGGTCCTATTGCTATTCAAATCCCTTGGCTTCATAATCTCGTTACTTGATTCCATACAGTTTCAAATGCCTTACGTATATATAGATTACTTCATAGAAAGTGCGGCGTACGGGGTTATATTCACGAGTTGTTTGTGTAAAACACGAACGAGCGAGAGCGTTTTACACAAACAACTCGTGAATATAACCCCGTATAAAGCACTTTCTATGATATTTTGTTTTCATTATATATATGACTAGAATTCACATGCAAACACGTTTATTTTAAGTGAGTAAAAAGGACAAATTTTGTCGAAATTTCATAAGTTTTAATTTTATAAGTTAAGTAGATGCAATGTCAAATATACAAAATGGAAAAACTCCGCACATCAGTTTATAAAAGGAAAATGGATATACAAATAGTCAATATGAATTTTGAAAAAATGTACTTTGATTGTTTTTTCATTAGTCACTGACCTTAAAGTCGTCGGTTCGTATTCATCCCCATCTTTCTTCCTTACTTCAACGAGAAAAGCAGAAAGCAGCTCGTCTAAATCTCTTGGCTGGATTTCTTCCAGGTTTTGCTGCACATTTTTTGTCTCGAGATATTCAGTCATAAAGCCAGGTCTCTCCACGTCTTGCTTAGTGTGTTTTTGTTTTCTTGGTTTTCAATAAACTCATCTACCGGCACATCTAGTGCCACAAAACGACTCGCCATTTTGTTCACATCAACAAAACTAAAGAAAACGCAAATTTGCTTTGGCGGGAAGCCATTCAAATGTCACAATTGCTCGTTTTATGATTGGTTGGTTTGGTCAATTCTATGTTTTGATTGGTTATATTTTTTACACTGTGAAAAGCTGTATGCGAAGCTGATTAATCGTATTGCATTTTTCACCAGTGAAATATAAAGCATAGAGATTTTTATAATAGAGATTTATTGCATGGAATTCTAGTTATATATATACATAATAAATGACTTTACTGATTTATTACCAGTTGGTATAAAGGGCCATGGCAACCATGTTCCAAGTCCTGTGGTCAAGGAGTAGCTGTCAGGTCTGTTCTGTGTGTCAGAAGTATAAAGAATGACGAGCAGATTGCTCTAAAGGACAGCGCCTGTGCTAAAGCAAAGCCTAAAACAGTTCGTAGCTGCGCCAAAAGATCGTGCCCTCCTCCTTGGAAAGTGGGCAACTGGACAAAGGTGAGAGCAGTAGTAGTAGCTAAATGGCTTTTATTCAGTTGTTTTCTCATATTACATCCAATGGCCAAGCGAGAGTACCAGAGTTGGGAAAGAGCATTTAGGCAAAAATTCCCACCAAATCCCACAAGTAGCCAACAATGAAGGAAAAAATCTCAGTGATCAAAAACTTGATATAAATGTATGGTTATGCAGGTTTTTGTGACTTAGACTTGTGTTTTCTTTGTGTGTTCAAAATGTCCCCACATTGGAGTATCGACACTACACGAGTGAAAAACGTCTGCGCATGCTCTTAATCTGTATGTAAATTATTCAATACGTATGTAAATTTAACTTTCAAACATACCTGATAAATTGGACTTCACAAAATGCCAAAACCTAGTGTCCATGCTTGAGACTTAAGGCTAATTATTTCATCTCGTGTTTTTTAATACAGTTTCTTGGTCTGACAAAAGCATACTCTGGAACTTTTTTGTATACTTGGAGAAAACAAACATTAATTTTCTCACTCAAACTCTCCAAAATTCTTAGAAAACGTGCCGAAATGCACTCATGCGCAAACGTTTTTCTCTAGTGTCGGCCGACACTATACTAACAGCTATTATGGTAGATGGTCTTTTTTTTTCTTTTTTAGCCGTTAATTTTATTCTTATCCTATATGATTCATATTCTCGTTTAATTTCCACTTGTATTACATATGTATTTTTTTAGTGTTCGGTGACTTGTGGTCGAGGTACTCAGCGACGTACAGTTATCTGTCAGAGTGCTCACACCACTCGCTCACCATGTGACAAGAACTCAAAACCAATCACATGGCAGTATTGTAATGATGGGTCATGTAAGATTGCTAACAAATATCTTTTTTCTAAGGTAAGAGTAAAAGACTGGGACCTCAACACTAGAAGCACCATTCTGTTTTGCCTACTGAACCTGTAAAACTGCATTTTCTCAAGTCAAAACGGTCACGGCTAATTACTATGAGTATCCATATGTATATGCCAGAATCTCACGAATAAGTATTATCCATTTCTTATGATTGACAGTCTGTGAGTCAGCATACTCTTACTTTAAGAACTCATTGTCGTAGTATGAGTGTCGATCTTTGCTGTACTGTGACCCGCCAATAGCACACTGCGCACGGATTCTAAAATTAGCTTGAAGACGCAGACAAACATCTTGCATTCTGTTTAGTAAATCGTGTTGAGCGTTATACGAAGAGATTTTATTATTTTTGCTTAAAGTTAGTATGATAACCCAATTAAACAAAGATCTACTGCGATCGGCAATGAAAATTATCTGCTAAAGGTAAACTGATAAGTTTGTCCGAGTTTCGCCTTCGTCTCGTTGACGTCGTCATCTGCGCGCAGCGCTATCACTATAATTGATCAGTTATTCAAAATCCTATTGCAATGTAATTGACAAAGTTCTTTCCCTTGATAGTTTTCACTGGAGTCGAGGTTCAACGATGAACTCAATGTCGTGGATCGAGAGCACGAATCACCATATTCATTTACCCATGATGCTACGGGGGTAGTTACTTGTAAGGGAGGCAAGTGTCGAGACTGGATCCTGGGAAGCTGGAGTAAGGTATGGTTAAACGAATCGGAATTAACTTGAATTGGAGGGCAGACTTTGGTTGAAGTCGTGTAGAGATTGAATGTTAAAACAAGTGGAAGTGGTGACACGATGGTTGCGCGCTCATGAAATGATAGTACCAAGAGAAAATGAACTATTCAAGCTTGTAACAATTTGTAACGTTTGTTTTTCTGCACGCGTATACTGCGTGCGCAATTTGCTGTTTGCCCAATTTTTACTTGAAAACACAAGAAAACATGAGCAGTTAGCGTAGAGCGCGCGCAATATGCGCGTACCGAAAAACAAAAGTTGAAATGAATGTTTCTAAAAGTAGCATCAAAGATTTTAAAAACAGCATCACAGAGTGCTCATGATGGGGCGCGGGTCTATAATTCGCGTCCAAAGTGACTTTTTGTAACGTGATAACGATATACCAAACCGTACAATATGATAACACTGTTTTATTGATATAGTGTTCTGTGAAATGTGGCCAAGGAGTTCAAACGCGTCGTGTTTACTGCCCTGGTTCACACAGATACTGTAATCCATTAGTCAAACCTGCTAAACACCGCAAGTGCCGCATGAAGCCTTGTCTTGCATGGAAGGCAGGAGCATGGACCAAGGTATCTTCCATTTGTACATCACCTTCTTTAGTTTCTAATTGGCTGGAATACCACTGTAACCATAGTAACTAATGATGTATATATATATAGCTGAAACATTGACCTCCATATTGGATTTGAAAGGAGGCTTTCGTTAAGAACACTCCCATATGTACTACAAATGTCTGTTCGACAAGTCTTAACGACAAAGTGCATCGAATGATCCCTAATATTTCAAGAGTTTTCTCGGCTTCGTTTTCATGCTGAAGAGATTTCGGACATAAGCATTACGGAAAACTTAGGCTCAGGTCAAACGTCGAGCTTCACATGAGCCGAACCTATGACATCAAAGAAGACCGCCTTGTTTTCCATTGTTTCAATTAGGTTCGGCTCGTGAAACTTTTTTAACACCTTGGACAATTATTCACGTCTCGATTATTCTAATTATTCGATGCAAAGGCACGGCTACCTTTCAAGACGGCGCAGGGAATTGTGAAAGGTACTATTGTGCCAACTTTGATGCTTGTATCGAAAAAAGAACAAATTTTACCTTAAAAGCCAGTAATCTTTCTCTTCAACTTGTCTCGAAAAAGCGTTGCGACACAAGTTGCAAGAGTGTTTACACGCGGTGCAACGGAAACACAACCGCTGCAATGCTCCATGCAACTTGTGTTGCAACGCCCTTTTATAATCAACTGGCTTTCGATTCGCAATTCTTAATCTATTTTATTACTTTCCCGCTTAATTAAACGTGTTATTTTATCTTCTAGTGCTCTGTGACTTGTGGCAGCGGCATGCGTAAGAGAATAGTCAAGTGTTATAACAAAGACACAGGTCGTGTAACGGCTGGATGTTCGAAAATCCAAAGACCCAAACATTACGAGAAATGTTCAGCTGGGAAATGCCCTGTCAAGAAGAAAGGTTCGTAACAGCTATACGTAACAACTATCAATGAATTTAGATCTTAAACGATATGTTCTCGAAAGCCGTAAATCAATGCTGAAAAGCCCTGACAAAAACCATGTAATATAGAAATGCGTTTGGGGAGCAGCAGGAACAACAGCAGCAACAGCCATTTGCAACAACAACGACAGCTAAAACAGCAGCAGTAACGACAAACGTTAAAAAAAGCTGGTTTACACCATAAACCACGAGTGTAATAGTTTTTCATAATGACAGACAATTTAATTTTCTCTTAACAGAAACCAAGAAAAAATGTCCAGAATATGGAAAGGATGCTTCCTTTTGTAAATTAGTTGGACTTCATGGATTTTGCAAATTCTCTCACTGGAGGAACCGATGTTGCCTGACTTGTGCAGGACGGCCTAAATCTATATTCTGATCCTGCCATCGATAGGATCTAGTTGAATTGGATCAAGGCGCGATTTTGAAAAAAAGCAAGAAAAATGGACATGAAGTAACAGCTTCACAAACACGTGACTGCGGTAGCACCGAAATATGGTCTTACGTTGAACATCACGCCATATCATGGCACATAGCTTTGACCACTCCGACACCCAAGCTATACGTCTTGTAGTCCTTGTAGAAACGCCATGGACAATATAAAGCATTGTAGAATTATTATCATATTAGCTAAATATAAACATAGTTAATATTATCTATTAACTATGATATAAAGCAGCATTTGTTGAACAGAGAAAGACAAACTTGTCTTGTCTTGTCGGACTAGAGAATACGTGATTCGTCACGCCATAAATGAAATAAACAGCTCAATGTGAACAACGTCTCAATATCAAAAAAAATAGTTTTTTCGAAACTTTTTTACTAAAACTTACAATGGACATAAACGATATCATGACAAGATGTCCAGCAAAGAAAGTACATCAAACAAACAAAACAAAACAATAAAAAAACTGTTAGTGCTTCTTTTTCATGGCAGAAAAATAGAGCTATTTCACATAGGTTGAATGGGAGAATGACGATTGCACTACCGAAAGGAACTGTGGTCAAACTATCAAGAAGACATAAATGGAATACATGACGACCGCGTCAACTCACTATCTACTGCGATTCTCAATATTTCACTGCAAATTTAAACATTTCAATAGAGCATTTGCATGATGGCGTCATTTGACTCCCAATACCATAATGCTTCGCGAATTTTCTTTTTTATTTAGATTTGTATTCTCTAAAGAGAATAGTAAAACAGTTGGTGCTAGTTAACTGAACAAAAGAAAGTGCGCAAGGAAGTCTGTTAGTGGAGGCCAGTGACGCCATCATGCAAACGTCCAATTGCTTGTTGAGAAATTGTTTTTCACTGCTGCCAGTCAAAAGTATAAAAGGTACGGACTAATTTTTTTTTGATTGATGGCAGCGATGAGCCAAATTTCCGAGTTGCAGAATATCGAAAACAGCAGTAAGGTCGGATCCAGCCAAAATTTGGGGGGGGGGGGGGGGTAATTGAGTTTCTTCCGTCAACACAACGGCAAACAGTGAAAAAAAGAATCTAATTCTTCAGTTTTGTTTTGTTTGTTTTTTTCTGCTGAAGGGGGAAAAATAAACATAAATAGGTGATCGTAAAAGGACAGCAGACAGTACTGCCTATCGGGTATGTACCCTCTGCCTATTCTTTTTACAAAAGCTGCGCTTGACTTTACAGTCCCTATTATATTCTAAGACTTTAATACATCCATGATATTGCTCCATATGTCGATGTAAAATGGGGTTTTAGAGGGTGGGTTATGCTTTTCCTTGAGTTTCATCCTAATTTCTTTAGCTGATATTGTCTTTCTGTTGTCTCGACTTACTTGAGACATGGGTTTTGATGATCGAAAGCGCTTGTATAGTTCATTGGTCGTTTGGTTTGTGAATAGTAAATAAATATGTACACAGGAGAAGATAGACAGGAGGAATGATACCATCAGTGCTGTCACCAAGAGTGTAAAAATAATTGGTTGGTCGATTAACAAATGCTGGGGGGAAATGATGAGCAGTAATTAAGAAAAGAACAGTAATTTAAAATTATGATCATGGCTTTAGCCTCTTTTTATAGTGAACAATATTGATAAAAAATTATAAGGAATGATCACTAAGGAAAAATCATGGATGGCAAATTGCATTTTGGTTGTTCATTATCTTAAGAAAAGCACTTAAAAGCACTTCAGAGGCTGTAGTCACATGTTTGTCTGTAGTTCATGGCATACTTCTGTATGTACAACTGCATGACTCAATGAATGGTCATGGATGTGTCATACAGAATGCTGAGCATTGCTATTTCTCAACATTGTCTAACATCACCTCCAACTGACCCGTAAGTTAGCCTATCTTGACTTAGGTCAATCAGTCCTGAGGTTGTTTCAGGGTTTGATCTGTTAGTTAGGCATGCCCTGACTTAGATCAGCCAAGGGGTTGTTTCAGGATTCAATCTGTGAGTTAGCCATACCCTGTCTTTGATCAGCCCTGAGGTTGTTTCAGGATTCAATCTGTCCTGAGTGAGACATGCCCTGACTTTTATCAGGTTGTTTTAGGGTTCAATAAAATTTGAAGGTGTCTCTTACCTGACATATGTGTCTAATTGTGACAGGATAGGTTCCACCATCATTACCAACATATTTCATCGACATTAGTCCTTCAGATATCACAATATATGTAAACACCACAAGGATGATTACGGTTGTGTAGATACTGAGTAGACAAGTAGTGAAGATAAAGGCCAGAAAATACTTGTAGTTGTGCTTCCCTATACAATTATTGACCCACGAACAGTGGTGGTCAAATCTGCTGACACACATGTTGCATATAGCTGGAAAAATGAGGAGAAACCATAATGAGAAAATGGTTTGACATATTTGTCCAATACATGATACTGATGATACTGTACAATCATGCAGGTTGGATCACAGACCCTGGGCGAGGGGGGTGGACTCCCTTATAAAAGGGGGCAGGGGGTCCCCGTCGTCCCTTTTAAAGTTTGAAATCAGGGTTTTGGTCCTGCTTAGGGTGATAACCACGAGAATGCACACCAACTGAATTTTGTGGTCCCTTTTAGACTATAAACTACAAAAAGGCAAGCAATTTGTATATGACTGCGTCATCATAAACTCGTTAGAGTAGACAGTGCCTAATGCAAATAAAATTGAGAAACCAAATTTTAAAAAATGCATTATTGATTAGTCCCTCTTAGGGGTGAAATTTCATCACTGCCACGCCCAACATCCCAAAATACAGTCATTTTCAGAATTTCCGACAAGGACCCCGCCCCTTTTATAAGGGAGTCCCCCCAGGGCACAGACTTACACCCATTTTTACTACACAAGTTTGGTTTTGCATGGTTTTCATGTATCAAGGTTAAAAAATTTCAAGTCTATGCTAGCAATGAATTTGATTGATTAATCAAATTTCCCTAATAAAATAAAATGTATGCAGATGTACTATGTTTTATCATATAAAACCCAGAAGAAAACCCTCGTGGAAAGGGCGAGTATGAAAAAAACAACCCTCAGATGAACTGTGCTGCATGACCTCAGAAGGATCCCCTGAATCCAATATGTCCCTGCTAACCCATGTACTGTAGACTATCTTTATACCTCGCTATACTTACAACAGTGCTTTGATCTTGATGGTTTATCAGTTCCACAAGTATGACACTTTGATTTTGTGTAATATAATCCATCATAATGATAGTCATTGATGTATTTGTCCAGGGTATGAGATGAGATTATTCCTGGGTCACTACGGCAACATATGACAAAGAATATGACGTCTGCAGTAATCAACAAGTATGTAATGACACAAAAGACATTAGCCTTTTCAAAGAAGGGCACTATCTTTACTGTATAAATAGCGCTACCACTTGTTATTAAGAAGGTGTAGAACAAAACCATGCAATAGTTCCTGTGGGACAGAGAATGACAGCAGTCAGGAACAAAAATATTATTTTCTTGGTTTTTGATATGTTTTAACAGGTCACTGATTTGGCATCAATATGTTGTACTAAGCCCAGTTGTACGAAGGGCGGATAGCGCTATCCAATGGATAAATCCTTATCCAGTGGATAAGTCGATGCTGTTATCCAATAAATATATCCACTGGATAAGATTTATCTATTGGATAGCATTATTCGATCCTTTGTACAACTGGGCAAAGTGTTTCAAAATTTGATGTGTTAATTATTTGGTAACAACTATCTTATAACACCTTATAAATAACCATCTAGTCTTTTTAAAAGAACCCTAGTCAACCTTGTACAATCTTCCACTGCACACCAGAATTGATGAAATACTATTTTCACTCTTCTTATTTCCTACCTCTTAAAGAACAGATAATCAACAATCTGATCAATGAAATTCAAGACTATCTGTGGCAGAATTGCTTGACAAACAGACATGAAACAGTCATTAACCTGCAGATAAATACATATGACAAAAAAAAGTTAGGACTTCTTTTGATAAGTATGCTGCGAGCACAATATATCTGGATCAAATGTTAAATCTATCACCAGTGACTACAGCTGTGAGTTCAGGATTTTTCTCCAGGTTCTCTGGTTTTCTTCCCTCTGCAAAATCAATACTAAATTCAAATTCGATCCATGAGCTACACTGTAGCTGTCTAATTGTAGCCCTGACTTTGATTAGCCCATAGTTTTAGGATTCAATATGACTTGGATCATCCCATAGTAGGTTGTTTCAGGGTTCAATTGAAGAGTTATTTGGGCTCTGACTTTGATCAGCCCAGAGGATGTTCAGCGTATAAATAAAAAAAATGAAAATCATTTATTTATATTTAACATATCTATAAGAGGCTCCATAGGTATTCCTGTATCTTTTTAAGCATTTTAACAAAGAAAGAAATAGTACACAAGGGATTAATGTCGTCTGAAAAACAGTAGTAAAATACCTGGAACAGTTTTGATCTGATCCACGAAATGAGACCGCCATCATGGAATGAGCTTCCTCCCACAAGTAAGACATAGCTGAAAGCCACAAAAACCACTGTGTAAATGATAGCTAAGGTTAGAAAGTCCATGTTTAGACTTCGTTACCATCCGCCATTTTGGATTTGGTCCAGTCCTTCRTGCTCATTATGGGCTTCCTGTGTGATATGTCAGGGAAGTCTTGGGTAGGGGAGGGGTAGAGGAGTTTTGACTCTGACTTTGTTAAATTTTTGAGGTGCGTCGAGGCAACTGTTGATAATAAAAGTTCCTAACTAAAGTTCACGTGCTGGGTTTTCAAACATCCCACACGCACGCAATGAGTCAACTACAGAAACTTTGTCATCAGAGAAACAAATATCTTTCGCTGCTCATAGTAATGGGTTAATCTTACACGGTTTAAATTCTTTAAGCTAAAGTCTCGGATGATTTTGACAACTTTTCAGAACACGATGACATGCTTTTTGCTCATCCAACGCCTTATTAGTTTACTGCGCATGACTAACTCCTTTTTAAAGTCTTCGATTCATTTCCATACATCCCACACACAATAAGGTGAATACAGGAACATTCTCATCATTTAGAAACAATTTCGTTTTGCTGGTCATAGCAAGGGGTTAATCTTACACGGTTTAGGGGCCGACTAACCTCTCCCATAGGCTTCGTCCGAGCTCCCTGGTCAGTCACTGGATAGCGGTGTCGGGGTCGAAATCTCCGGCGTAGCCGTAAATGCTTTGCGCTGCCATAATGCGCTTCAGCACAGGGTCTGGAGGTATGGTCCTAATTTTAAAGAAAGAGTAATAAGATAAATAAAAAAAACTGAATATAAAAAGTTAAACGTGCAACATAGAGAACTATGTAAGCAAAAGAGCGTTTTTGCGTGACGTCACAGCCGCCATCTTGGTGTTCCAAAACAATGCCTTTTCTAACCTAGGGAAATTTGAACTCTTTTTTTATGCAAAAACTGTGCAGAAAGTTTCTTTTGTTTCGTACACCAATCTGGCTACCTTGTCACGTGAGTGAAAACACTCTATTGAATTAGCATAAGTCAACTCTATTTAGTACTATTTATAGGTTTCACGCTTTTAGTGTTTGTACCAAGTATTTACCAAGACGCATGGAATTATATACGCCTAATTATGAAAATGGTTGTAACTCTAAGACATGTGCATGTCGTCACAGACCGCCTGAGCAACACAAAAGCGCCCTTGAAAATGAACGTAGACAAAACTAACTCTTTTAACCCATGACCATCATCGCCCAATAACAATATGGCCCCCGTTGCAGACGTTTTATGTGGTTTGCTTCCCTCCCACAACAACTTTTTTGATAATAATAATAATTTAGCTTTATTTCCGTCAACGTGAGCTCTCTTAATAAGATGAAATCGGGCATAAACTTAATCCCTTGAAGCCCCCGTGAGGAAAAAGTTTGTCTGAAAGAATTTTTGGGAGAAATATTTACTTATTTGATATACTCAAAGGCGTTTTACAATTGCTTTTTACAATTGCTTTTTTCCCAGATTGGTTTTTATGCAATAGACCCCTTTCGAGTTCCAAATTACCGCTGTGTTCCTTGATTACAGATTCATTTACTCAGGCTTAGCCTCCAACCAGTGTCTAAATATTCACAAATACCAAAAGTAAAGTAAAAAATCACTTCAGCAATACAAACACTTTGAAACTTGACGGACCTTGACTGGAACACGTGAATATTCTTCACAAAATCGAGGCTAACCCTGAGTAAATGAGTCTGTAATCAAGAAACACAGCGGTAATTTGGAACCGAAAAGGGTCTATTAACAAACATGAGATTGAGGCGTAGACACTGAGGGTGGTCGCTGCAAGGCGCCTCTACGGGGGAGGAACGAGACCGAGGGGCTTTGTGTACGAGACTGGAAACGAGATAAATATAAGTTCACGCGCCGAAAGTTAAGTTCTTAAAACCATGCGTCTGTGATCCACGGAAGTACAATTATTACTGGTCGATTATCTTCAGTCACTTCGCTTACGATTAAAGTCCTTTCTCCAAAATGTTGCTGAAAGAAATATCAACCAAAGATTTCTGGATCTGCGTGTTGGCTGAATTCCTTGCGACGTTCTTCTTCGTTTTCTTGACGACTGGTTCAGCGATTACCTGGGATCCCAACCATCCACCAACCATTGAACATATCTCACTATCATTTGGTCTCAGCATCTCTACCCTAGCCATGTCGATACTCCACATTAGTGGGGGTCTCATCAACCCTGCTGTAAGCGTAGCACAGACTGTGACCGGAAAGATCTCTCCAATGCGAGGTGCTTTTTACATGATCGCCCAAGTCATAGGAGGTAAGAGACATAAAACGCACATGAAGCTAACCACATATATCAGTACTTGATCCTTTGGTGATTTCATTTGCTTTGACCTCAAAATCACGGCACTAAATGCGGTTTCTCTACGTATGCGCAAATAGCCATTGATTACCTCAGGGGGGACATCTCAAGATTAAGTGTAGAAGTAGATATTAGTTCCAAGACAATTTTGGGAAGGGTCCATTTGACCTAAAGAGACCACAACAGCTGCCAAAATAAATGCGCAAAGTTTTGAGTGCCGGTGAAGTAATCCTCGTGGTGGTTTTGCAGCATGGCCGACAGTCTGAGATAATGTCGTCTGAGCCGTGACGGGGATCAAAACAGTTCGGTCAAGGTTTCACACTGATAACTAGATCTGCAGAGTTTCTTTTTTCAAAAAGAATGCCACAAATTCCATCAAGAATGGTGCGATTTCTTTTGCTTTTCTTGTTAGCCTTGCATAAAAGACTGCCGCACCAGTAGCCAATGTTAATGCGCAAAATTTTGGGTTGCGATGAAGTTAGTTAATCTTAGGAATCCCTCGTGGTGGTCGGCAGCATGGCCGACAAGTCTGAGATATAAATGCTCTCTGAGACAATGTTGTTTGAGCCGTGACGGGGATCACAGCACATGGCGAATGATTACTAAAAGGACTACGAAAACAAATAAAGGCATAATATTATAAAAGAGCATACAGGAATTAGTGAAAACTAAAAAGTTTCAAGTGGTTTTGCTGAAAGAGCGCTGAAGTTACGGGCGACAGAAGTTGGCTTTGTAAGGGTGTATGGTGGCCAAGCTTAGTTTCCAATTACCATTCATTTATTCATTCCGGAGTGATTATCTCAAAAGCAAAAGTACAGTTCACGATACATAATGGGAGCTGACAGACGGGTGAGCCATGTTAGCCTACTTAACTACAATTCAACACTGGTCAGCCCAACGTACACCAAAGCGAGACTGTTGCTAATGGTCATTTGCATTTACCACTTGCATTTACCTTGTCAAAGGAGAAGAAATGAGAAGAGATCTCGCTTGCTGTGATTTGTCCAATCGATGTCATTAATTTAAATAGAAAAATCTATTTTTCTTTCGTCCCTCCCTACCCAGCCCCCTCCACCAGGGACTTTTGACTCGTAAAAAGCCAATCTTCCTCGACCAATCGACACGGACAGACAGACGGACAGTAACCAAGGGAAATAGAGGGACGTAGCTCGCAGTCTAATTCTACTTCAAAATTCTTTCTGACCATTTTCTCTCGATCTATTCTAGGTATAGGAGGATCAGCTATGCTCTATGTTCTTACTCCGTCAAGTAAGCATGGAACTTTGGGAGCTACAGTCCCATCAGTTGGTGTCTCTACAGGTCAGGCTTTTGGCATCGAATTCATGTTGACCTTCTTGTTGGTGTTGACGGTGTTTGCCTGTACTGATCCCAAACGTCAACATTATGGCTACGAGATTCCTCTGGCCATTGGATTTTGTGTGACTGTTTGTCATTTGATTGGGGTGAGTAGATTTGAATCATTGTAGTTAAAACTTGTACTTGGCAGATAGTGTCCGTTTAGAGAATCAGGTCGAGATTGAGGAGACGCACGGTGGAGGGGACTGACTATCAACAGAGACGGTAGCGGTAGTGCACTTGTCTCTCCCCTCTTGACTTTTGGGTTCAATTCGTAGACTAGGGGGTCACATGTGAGTAGTGTTTGTTAGGTCTCTCCCTTGATCCCAAGGATTTTCTTCGCAAATCCTAGCACGCAAAATTCAATTTGATCTGCCGAATACCCATGTCCTGACTTTGATCATCCCCGAGGTTATTTCAAGGTATCGATAAATGCCAGCCTTTTTTTAACTGAGGAGAGAGGGGTGAGGAAGATCCTTCCCTGTTCATATAAGTTATATTTATGCTTTAATTCTTTTAGATTCGTTTTACTGGTTGTGGAATCAATCCGGCACGATCCATGGGTCCAGCGGTCATCATGAATATCTGGACTAAGCACTGGGTGAGTTTGGGGGAGTATCCACTTATTAAGCTAATTCACTAAACTATCATTGAATACTACCAATATTGGACCACACCCAACAACCTTCATAGTTTAATTCAAGAACAATTCATTTGTACCATTTTAATTTGTAGTCATATATATATATATATATATATATGTATGATTGTTATGGAGGGAGGAAACCCGAGTACCCAGAGAAAACCCTTGTGGCAAGGGAGAGAACAACACATCAAACAAACTCAACTCACATCTGATCTAGTGTGAGCCGTGGCTGGAACCCGGGCCACAGTGGTGAGAGGCGAGCAGTAAACCACTACGCCACTCGTGCCACCAATTAATCTTCCTAATTCAATCTTGGAGACGCCCTCGAGCACGAAAAAGTGTTCATGTGTCGTCTTTAGGCAACGTTTTTACTATAAGTTTGATAAATATAATTATAATATGGGATATTGGGCTGTAAGATATATGCTGATGATGAAATGGAAAAGATAGAGGTTGAGAAACATTATCTGCATTAATTACCGCATGGCCATAAATGATTCCCTGGGTCAGAGAGCGAGGTAAGGAATGCAGGGGGAAGGTACTTCATTGACATATTCTGTTTCACCACACAAGCTAAGACCTAATATCTAGCATATGTCACCTGCAGGTGTACTGGATTGGACCGTTAGGAGGAGGGATAATAGCAGGCGTACTTTATCAGTTGGTATTCCGTGCACGAGAAGATCATGCATCCATCACCGAACCTGGTGGCATTGTCTTAAACAGCTTGATGTCACATTAACACTCTGTCTAATACAACCTGGTTTACAGTGGCACGAGTTTGTAATATGTATTTGTCTTAGGCCAGTACGTGTCCTTTACTGAACGCGGTTTTATAATGGTAATTGGACTGAGTGGAGAGCAGTTTGGTCTGAAATCAAACGAGTGATTACAAAATTACACGGCACAACCGCGTAGCGGGAGTGCACAATTCGTTAATAACAAGTTTGATTTTTATACCAAAATTGCACTATTACCTTTTAATTATATCCATTTTGAAAACTCCTACAATAGTAAAACATTTAAAATTAAATTTTACTAAATTAAAAAAAAACTGTCTTTCACCTACAAAATTGCCTTACAAGTTTTTGAATAGTGTGAAACATTTTTGACAACTGACATTTCACGTTTGCCGTAAATAAAATGCTTGAATTCTCAATTGACGATGTCGTACGAATATTAAATATATATAGACCCTTTAATGTGTGCCAGTTAAATAGATGTTGAAGTCAAGATCCGCCAGTATCTTGTGATTTGCTAAACAACCCTACCTTACGTAAATGCTTCGCGCTGCCATACTGCGCTTCGGCACTATGTCTGGAGGTGTGGTCCTAATTTCAAATAAAGAGTAAAAAGATAAATAAAAAAACAGAAAATAAAAATTTTAAATTTAACGTGCTACATGAATAACTATGCTTCTGTCGGTAGTGATGGATTTAATGTGACGATTGCGACCGATGACTACTATGATGATTCAAGATGACACATGCAAGGGTGGGTAAACACGGTACTGATAATGAAGAACAGGACGAACAGGTTGACATTGATAATCATTACCTTCCGATGTGTCCTTTACTCATCATTAATACAGTGAACGTCCAGAGCAGCGGCAGACGCCAACATCATTTTCCAGAGGAAATGGCTGGAGGCATGGAAGATTGCTAATGAATCACATGCTCTCTTTAATAGAGACAGTGGAAGAACATTGCCTGATAGCTATCGTAGCTTGATAGGCAATTAAGATCATATAGCTTATCTTAATAGACAAAAAAAAAAAAAAATAAATAAATAAAATAGCGCGCGCAATTAATTCTCCCTTCGTAACACGCGCGCTCCTAGCAACTGATACATTTAACTATAGCACGCGCACATTGTTATGTTGCGTGTTTCTTGTAAAATTGTCACAACCGTTTGCCCTGATGAAGAGCAAGATGCTCGAAAGCTTGGCTGGATTTATAATTAAAAAGCTGATGAATCATAACTATCATGAATCATTTTCTCTTTCGTGATTGAAGTTTTGGAAAATCTTCATACTTAGTCAACTAGGGAAGCCAAGTCCCGGGGACAAGGGAATGTCCTTGGTGCTAACTGCTTAGAAAGTAATATAAACTTTTGCTTAATCTTTAAGCTTCCAATGATATTGTACTGGTAAGTATTCTATATCTATATCCCTGAAGATGGCATCTATTGTCTAAAGCTTGTTTAAATCCCATGTTGAAAGCCCAGTTTAGATCATAGTGCCAAACTAAAATAACAGAATTAACATTTGGAAAATCAATAATATATTGGTCAGAGTCAAAGAAATTGTGCTGAATAATGCAATCAAACAGGAAAACCTAGCAATGACAATGAAATGAATTTTTTCGGCTCGCCTTTGGTTGCTATATGTTTTACGCTAAGACAGATTTTGGATGCTATCCTGGATTCATAGTTTACATCACTCTAAATCTCCTAACCATACAATTTCATTCCCCATCCCCGAATATCCTCTTATTTACCTGGGCCCGGCTGAACGAGAAGGATGAATAGCGCTCTCCGATGAATAAATCTTATCCAGTGGATAAGTCGATGCTGTCATCCAGCAACTTTATCCATCAGATAAGATTTATCCGTCGGATAGCGCTATCCACCCTTCGTAGAACTGGGCAGAATTTTCCCCCAAATTTCGTATGTAGGACTCCCTAATCTAATAGTTCGTCTCAGTGGACATAAGGAGATGTGATTTGTTATTTCTCTGGTTCTTGTTTTAATGTTTAGCCAGGCTATTGTCCACTCTATTTCTAGTCGTGGCCTGCTTTTTGGGTGCAGCGACTTGTGAAAGTATAACATCTGATAAAACAATTTTACAAAATTGAAATATTAATACTTCAAATTGATATCAGTACACTGACTAACCCGGATTTCCGAATTAATTGTCAACTTCGATACCAGACTAGCTTTACCGGCAAATGAGCTTATTATATCTTGCCATACCATATAAGGTCATTTATCAGCCTTCAAGATTTATTTGCTCATTGACACTACCCTTAGTATGTAAAAAATAAGTATTTTATAGCCAGATGAGTCCGTAGGGCTTTAGAGTTAAATACAGGAATCAACAGATTTTTTAATTTTCAGTAATTGCATGCCATTAATAACCGCTGCGTCCCGATGGGAGTTAGTATAATGAGTATACAAGCGCAGAGGTTGAGTGGATCAAACCTGTGTCGAAGCGAAAGTCTACTACGTATACAGGTTTAGCGTTTTAAAATTTATTCGCAAAGGCTGGAAATGACATTAGAAATAACTAGCTTCAGTACGTACTATTATATCTTCCAAATTTTGTAAATTGTCTTCTGACCAGCTGATATAGATATGTCGCGATGTAGAAAGGAATTTAGATCAGGATTAGATAACGGATGACTTGAGAATACGATCGAAAATAAATCATAGTGCATGGCATATGTTTTGAGTGACAAATCTCTGACTATGTTTTACGAGTATTTTGCGACATGCATTTTATTTAAAGACTATTGAAGTTATCGCTGACTGGATACTGAACAGTGGCGAATCCAGAATTATTTCAACCTTCGAAGGCATAATACAGTATCCTTTTTAGGTTGGATCAGCCCCTTCTTTGTTGTCTTAATTATTTTCCAAATTCCAAGGAGGGTTGGCTTCATACAATAGCCACCCAATCCACCCCATGTATACGCCCTTGATCACGGTATGATCCTGTAACGCCTGTCTTTGACTCTCTGGTTATAAATCAATACATGACAATTGATATCGTTACAATTGTGCTATCTTGGTACTGAATTAATCAGAGTAATTAGCCAATTATACCTTAATATGTTAGGCATCAACTTGATGACAAATAGCTCAATCGATGGCTATTAACTGGTTGGATAAATACATTAGTGACCTTGATCTTTAAGCACATACAGCCATCATTACCCGTGGGAGGTTAGACTTAGCATATCGGCCTATGTGTGCTTACATGTGTATAACATTGGGTATCGGATAAACGCACAATAAAGCAAAACAGAATTAGGAAACCCCCTGCTTTTTTGATCAAAGAATTAAGAAAAAAAAACAAAGTCACGATTGTACCCCCATCTTTTGGGCTCCAACCCCAATCACTAGAGATATAAAAAACTACTGCTTTTTTGGCCGTTTTGGGCTATTTAGAGTTACCTTTAATGGTAGGTTTTGTAATTAGTGTATAACCGGGGCTAAGGTTAGGCAGACTTTGGAGTGCAAACTAGTCTTAGCTTCATCTATGGACTTTGTTTACTCTAGTAAGTAGCACAGCAGTTCAGTAGTGCAGTTTTCGTATGACTGTGAAAAGCTCAGTGCCGTAAGCGTGACGTGACCGTGATACTTTCTAGAATTTTAATTGGCTGATTTTTTTCACGCGCAATATGATTGGTCTAAAAGTGCCGTGATCTTGGCGTGACCGTGTCCGCGCCGTGTTTATGCCGTGTTCCGGGTATTTGATTGGATGGAGAGTAAATTCTCGTGCAATGTGATTTGTCTGGCGTATCCCTTGCTGTGTCACGACCGTGTTCGTGCCGTGAACTTTTTACAGTCATACGAAAACTGCAATATATACAGGATTTTCCCAAGGGGGAGGGGGATCACGCCACTTTGCTTGACCCCTCCGCAACGTCAAACAAAAACATTCTTCCATTTAGTACAATACTGAGGGGGGTCAGTGACGGGCATCCTAGATCCCACCCCGGCCCTCGTTAGTATAAAAAAATCTGAGTATAGTCCTAAAATAATGTTTTAATTTTCAATATATTTTTATAATTAAAAATGGTCAGATATGTTAACAATGTAACTTTTAATGTTTTGCTTTGAATAGTTGAACGGATATTGTCATTATATTAGCTAAAAAATTTAACTGAAAGAATAAAATGTATAAATTTTAAATTCTTATCTATGTCTTATTTTCTTTACAAAATATTAGCATCAAATCTAAAATCTATAATTAAAGCCACTATATATTTGCCATTCCTATCAAGGCTTACTTGGTTCTCTCATTGAGAGGCTTGTTATGATCAACAACATGTACTATGGTGTAAGGAATCCAATATAGACCAGACAAATGACAACACTAGCTTAGTGTTTTAGTACAAATGCATGAATAAGTAAGTTAGCTTTATTTATACTAAAGAAAAAGCAGTTCTAAGTATAAGCTAGTAAATGTAGACTCAAAAAGAAAGATAAGGTTTGGTAGCCGGTATGACGATGAGTGAGGGAAGAGATTTTCAGACAAGGTGACTGAAAAAGATGGTAAAGGGTAGGATTCATTAGGTGTAGTGAGGCGTAATGGACTGGTAATTATAGCACATGGTATGTATTTGCCTGTGAGACAGTATCAAAGTGTTTTCTTCGGCTGTGTATGAAAACCTTTTCTCTAAATGAGGTTGAACCTGGTCGACTATGTAATAAATTTCCAATAATACATATCTTAACAATGACTATATAACTTAATCTCAAATGCTATATATTATATGCTTCTATATAATCTTAATCAAAGAAACCATGACAACTGCTCAATATGTGCTATCATAATACGTTAATAAATCTTACTCTTATGCTTTCGTCGCATTTGACATACATGTATTAAAAGTACGAAACAATAAAATAGTTTGGTTCTGTAATATAAAGTATATAAAAAGTATGAAAAATATACTATTTAGTAAGGCGAGCATCGTGTGCTTCTCTTGCTTCTTAGAAGGAAGGAAAGGCTGAAGGTAGGGCGACTGCGAGTACCATCCAAGAACACTATATACACGACAAGACGGAATCGATTGCGTCTTTCAGAGTCCACGGTAGATAGTTTATAGACAGGACAGCCAGTTTCTGGACTTTCGTAAATTGCGTCCAAGTCAACGGAAAAATACTGATGGCTTTGGTAATCCTGCGAGAAAAAAAAAAGATTAACCAATTCTTTCGTTAGTATCAGCCTGGATGTTCTCTGTGTTTTAATGTGTAACGTGGGTATCTAACGCGTGTGCGGTCTTTGAAAGCGGTCAGCCCTTAGTGTATTTTCTACCTAGCTGAAGCGAGAAAAATTATTTACCGAACGAGCAATTACTATGCAAATAACTTAGGAGCTGACAAGATTTGTCACTAAATATAACAGAACTTGCAATATGACGGGCATTTTTCAAAGGAAATTTCGTTAGATTGAAATTTAGAGAACCTTGGACTCAGGTGATCTAATGTCACCTGACAATTGGAAAGGTGTCTTGTAATGAGGCAATTTCTTGAGGAAATTTTCAAACCCAGGTTTAAATATATTCAGCTCTCTAATGTTGTTTCACTTCCACTTTCCACGATCTTTCTTTGGGGGGAACTTTAGAATTCTGCTTTTACAAACCGCAAAAGCTGCGTTACACAAAGGATGGAACGGACAGTCGAGTGCATGGGCTTTATTTTTGAGAGCAAAACAAAATTGGACATCCAACGCTTTATTGATCATTCCGATACAAATTTCGGTTAAATAAACATCTGTATTACTCAGTACAGTTTATTTATCCATCTGGAAGAAAAAGGGGGCCAACGAATAATAATTGATTTATCAAAAAAATCCCCACATTATCTAATAGAAGACTGTTTAGTTGTTACACTATGTCAACAACAAGACACTGGGGGTATAATGGCTTGGCTTAATTAACTTGTAACGGGTTAACCGAACATTTTGTTCCAACGGAAGACTGATTACGAGAATGTCTGATTATTTTTGACAAACGGAAAGAAATGAGAAAGAAATGAAAACTGTCAGTTATTGACGAACACCGTTTTCCTGATATATCCACTGTACGTCACGAGGACACAACACACAATAAGTCACGAGCGACCAACGAGACATGCTATTCAAACACTAACTAGTTTTGTTTCGTTTTACATGCACACTTGTGATTACAGTACTTACATCAGTAAGCATGAGATTATCCATTCGAGGTTTGAGCGGCACCTGTCCATTATGATCGCCACATAGCTTGGCAGCCTCTGGTAATCTTTCGACATAGACTTCAACATGTTGTATCTGCGCGCAGTACGTCACCATCATATCTATGACTGCTCCTGTAACCCTCTGTTTTGAGTGCTTGTTTTTTCGGCACTGTACTTTCTCATAGACGCTTCGAAGGTTAAGGAAATACACTCGTTCCTCGTGGCTGTATGCTGCTTCACCTCTGTATGTATTTAAGGGGTTTCTTGGGATCTGTTGCCATGGTGAGTTGCTGTAGCAACAAGAGGAATAGATTTCTTGCTCGCGTTTGGCTACTTGATATGGTTTTACTTCTTCATCACATTCTGAAAATGAAGTTTAATTGGTTAAAAAATAAAGAAATAAACGAGTGAAAATGCTGGGAACATTTACTTAATTACATTTTTTTTTTTTTTGTAATTTATCACATTTGTTGCTGTAATTTTTTTTTTTTTTTTTTTTTTTTTTTTTTTTTTTTTTTTTTTTTTTTTTTTTTTTTGGCTAACTACAAAAAATTTGATAAAGGTATCATGTTATTTGAAATCTTTCATCTTTAATTGTGATTGGTCAATTGGTATTTTTACTGACTTTATTTATAGCTGCTACGTATTGGCGTTTGTGCACTAAAAAATACCCATCTAAATAATCCGAAAGAAGAAAAACTGTTTAAAATAATTAGTACATATTCACTTCAAAAATGAAATAATTAAGTTATAAATAAAACATAATTCCCCTAAGTCCACTAACATTATATTATTCAAATAATCAATTTTGCTGTCATGATTGGTTGATATTTTTAGATCTAGACAGTGTAATCTGTTTTTCGCTGACACACTGTTCAAAATTATTAATGTTGTTATTTCATTAGGTGTCTACACTTGCTCGGGTTTCCCAAAGCGAAATACCACACCCTTGTTTGTCCATTGAACGTTAAAATGACGCCACGCATGGAAAAAATGTAATATTGTATTAAAGTGAAAGAATAAAAAAATGACTTCATATTGCGCAAACTAAAAAGTACACGATTACAGACAATCCACGTATATCAAGCGGAACCTTTTCATACAAAATACAAGGGGTTTCCTGTTGATCTCACTAACTGTGAGACTGATCGACTCACGCCCAACAAGTCATTTCCGCTTGCATAGAATCACGAGGGCGCGCCAATCGAGTGATCCACAGCATAACGTAGTTTTCCACTCGTAAAACAGCTCGCAATCTTCACTAATCATAACAACTAAGGGAACTATTAATATGGCTGATTCGAAACCCACTAGAAGGTTTTATTTTAGTGTCAAAAAGCTTTATGGTAGACTTGAAGAAGCTGTGAATCAATGCATGTCAGTATCCTCAGATCCTAAGAGAGACGATATTGAAATCTTCAGTTATCAAAAAAGAAAATCCTGATTGAATCGACCTTACAGATCAGTACACTCAATTAACCATTGTCCTCAGTAGAGCCCAGACTTTTCTGGTTATCAGTCAGAGGTTGAATCTCGAGTCAATGCATTAAGTTCGTAAAAAGAGCAAATTGATACGATTAAGACTGATAACAACACACCGCTACTAAAACACTGGACGGATTGCACTGTCCATCCCTGAGTTAAGTAGTAAAGATAGACTGTCTCTGTTTAGAATCATAAACGGCTAGTTTTGATTCAAAAACAACTCCCTAAGATCAACACTGCATAAACAGGCTGGAGTTCTTTTCATGTCCGCTGGAATAAAATATCTTGGCACCGGGCAGTTAATTATAACTTTCAATCATCATTGGCGGAATTAAGACTTAGAAAGCCTCACATACCGACTGAAAACTAGGAAGAATTAGTGGCCTATTTGTAAAGGGGGAAAGGCCTTGTGATATGTCAATGACTACAGTAGAGTGTGAAAGCGACAGGGATTTATAATCGATGTTGTCATAATTCAAATAAAACACAGAATAGAAAGTATAGTAGTTATATATAGTGTATTTGGAATGACAACAGAAGAAAAAATGATCAGTAAAAGTGGAAAATCCGGCAAAAGTTCTTACCAGTAATGAAAGTCGTGTTGCTTTTGCAAAGTTTCATTGGTTTCATTCTGTGTTTGACTATGCCTCGCTTAGGTCATCAGGAAAAACGAAAGATCTACGACTTTCCGCATGTGCGATTTTCAAAAAAACTTTTAAAAGCAAAAAAAAAAAAAACCTTAAATGTCCTAAAATTACGAAACAAAATTGTACTAGTTCTCTCTGGCTGTTTCGAAGCCGTGATAACTAAAATCTTGCCATGAGGATATGTCTTACTGAGCTGATTTGAAAGTGAAACTCCTCATTTCGTAGTTTTATCATTTGTTCTCGCTTTTAGTTGAAAATGTGAATAACGAAACTAGCTGATAAGCAAATTTCTTTTCAAATATGAAGGTCTCGTAACTTAACAAGATTTCTGCGCGGCAGCTCCCGTGCTTAATAAGTCTTCGTCACTCTTTTCTCAAGTTGATTTTAAATACAATCGTTTCCTGAAATGTTTAATTTGTATCAAATTCAAAGCCACAACCTCGGAACGAGTTGCCGTAGGGGGGAGCTTAGCGTATCTACACAGTACGTGGGTCAACAAGTGAGCCTTAAGGGCCTTGACGATGCTTTTACTCCTTCTTTTCTTCTTTTTTCATTGTTTTCCTTTTGCAAAACGCTCCTGTCTTCCTGTTCTGCTTACAAGCGCTCTAGAATTACTTTATGAATCAAGGAAGTACTTTGTAATTAAATGCGATCAATTGGAGTTGGTTCCAACAGGATACTGGTCAACCTTAGTACACGACATTCTAAAAACACGGCCAGGTAGAACCCTTGTTAACAAGAATCATGCTAAAACGATATTTAACACAACCTCCCAATCTTTCTCAATCTGCACATGAAAGGTTTCCTTCAAATTAAGGGCTCAAAATGTCCTAACTTGACCAAACGAACTAGTTACAAGAAAAACTTCGTAGCATGGAGTACTGATGTAATGTAGAAGTTTAGTTAACGTGAACCTTTTGAACTCACCGTGTTAAAGTGGGCGAGGATATAAACAAACAATCCTGCGATATCAGAAATTCTAAATCTTAAGATTTTTATAAAAAATACATGTACAATTTTTGTAAAAAATTTAAGAACTTTTCAGAAGAATGCTTCTCGTTTAGATGTTCTTAATTATAGGCAATTGGCAATCGTAAAGTCAGATTTAATTAAAGATTGATTGTCGATAAAATTGTATTTAAGAAATGTGACTTCAAAGTAAAATATATTTTTTAAATGATAAATATAAGACAATTTATAAAACTTACCACAATTCGACATCATGTATCTTTCTGTACTTGGATCGTTGAAAAAATCTCTCAGTAATTCTTCCATCTTTTGGGGTTTTATACCTCTAGAAATATTGATCAAGTCTGGCACACTTTGACCTGAAATTTTCGTTAAAAGATAACGAGGTTTTTTTGGATTCTGATTACTTTAAACGCCGTTTTTTGATTTTCTCTTTTCTTTGCGTGTAAAATACAAGTTGGACGTTTCCCTTGGATTTGTCCCTTAGTTCACTGGCTTTTACTTTCAATGTATCAGTAAAACATTTTCAACACAGATCACGATTTATATCAACGACAAACTTTGATTGACAAGGTGGGGAGGGGCAAAATGAATTGGCGGAAGTTTCATATTCCTAGTCCAGCCACGTGTGAAATCTTGACATATTGACTTCCGGTCTCTCTATTCTGCAGATTGCGTTACTCCAATCACAATTGATCTTGTTTACCAACTCAAAGTTGTTAAAACAAAATGTTCACTGATAGTTCAGGCAATCATTTAACCCATGGCTTGACCTAATTATGATTGTAAAACGTTATTTTCTTACATAGAAACGCAAAAGTAAGAATTTAGTCCGAATTTAGTCACCAAAAACGAGCTCCTAGAAAATTCTGTGACCCTAGACTAGAACTAATTGACAAAACTCTACGTAATTCACAACTGGCTGGTTTGAGTAGCTTATCGACCCAGAAGATTTCCTCAAATGATAGATTTATTTGTAGGGGTCAAACATAGAGGATAGGCCGGAAACAAAATATGATCAACTTCGCCATATTTGGAACTTGTCGGAGTTGGACAGAGTTTTTTTAGTTCAGTGAGTCTGTTCAAGTCATAATAATCTGGTCATTTTATGTTAGTTTGTCGGGGATTTTTGCTGATAAAAATTTTTATCAAAAGTTAGCGATTTAAGAATTATACTTTATGAAAGAAATAAAGCGTATGTTCAACTGCAAGGAAATGAAGGAAAAATGACGATAAAAAAAGCTTAAAATGATAACTCATCCTCCTTCCTGTAGCTATTGGAAACTAAGTTTTAAAAAGAAACATATCGAAAAGGGACAAAAAGAAGCTCACATCTGTGCGTGGAGTCCCAAAACACTAACGATTTTTTCACTAAAGATCGACCAAAACCAATTAATACGAGCTAAACCTGGCATAGTTTTATCGGAATTTTTTTAAACGCTTCATTTGGTAAGCATGTGAAAAATATTTTTGTTGCTATTTAGTTTTAATTCTAATAATTGCTATCCTAGTTTTCATTCTTTATGTGTCGCTCCATGTTCGATTGTTTCCGCTAACACTTTCAATCTTTTTGAAATACGTAATTCTCAATCATCTTCTCGTACATTCTAGTTCTTTATATGCGAAAGGGAAACAAAGTAAGAAAGATCGGTAAGCAGAAGTTGGGGGAGGTATATGTACGAGGGAGAAAAATACTACCTTGGGACTTCCGGTTCTTTCCTTGCAGCCATTTAGAGAGCAATCGGTGAATGTGCTAGTTTTACACAAGACAATCGCCAAACGTGATTTATATATTCAAATTGCATGATGTTAGAGAATCGAGACAGTGGAGAACAATTCTGGTTTCGTTTCTGGGATATTTTGATATGATTTGAAGGTGAAAACGGATGCTGGTTTAAGCTAAGAGCTGATACGGTCCAACATGTACCATGCTGTCTCATGTCATGAATCTTACATTATCATACATAAATTCAACTAATATATTGACTATGAAAGTGTTTTGCTATTTCTATCAAACATCTGAATCATATAATAGCTACCTTGACATTTTAAGCCCAAACTAAATATGACTCAGCGAAGCAAAAACCGGCACCATAGCACGTTTGTCAGCTAAAGTGTTTTGAAAAAGTGATGACATTTCTCAAATTCAAAAAAGCAAAAAAAAAAAAAAAAACAAACTAAGCCTTCCTTAAAAATAAAATGCAGGTATTATTTAGACTAAATATATCCTATAAAATGCTGTCAGCCATAATTTACGTCTATTTTCATTTCCGAGATAAAACATTTATTTTCGAGGAAATCAAAACACTCTTTTTCGAACAACAGGAAAATAAATTGATACATTATGTATTTAAATGAAACATAATTAGCTCATATCTGAGTTCTATTAAAATCTACGCTTTCAGAAGTTTCCCCCACAATATTACCACATTTCTTATGACAGAGCTAACTCGGTGCTTTATCGCTTTGTGGTCCATACAAAACACGCCGGGCCATTGTTTTGTTAATGTGCAATTATGAATTTGCGCTGTTTCAGTTGGTTCAAACGAGAGATTGCAAGCCAAAACTGTAGAAAGAGAAACCCTTGCCATACAAACATACACACAAACAAAAAATCAAGAGGCGAGGCTTTTTTTTCTCCTTCCGTAAATTTATGAGCTTTTTCTGGAGCCAGACTTTTAGTACTGTTTTTCATTGTACTTTCAAGAGCTGCTTAATATTTTGTCTACGATACCTTTTCTAAATAAACTGATTAAACTGAATTCCATTCTTAAAAGCTTTTTAAAAATATAATAAAGTTTCTTACCAACGCCATTAAAGTGTGAAAAATCCTTTCAACGTCCAGGTGCTGAAAAGAAAATAGTTTTAAAATAGAAGGCAAGAATACAAAAAGTACAATCTTGAACCGCCTACGAAAGCTGTCTCCTTAGTTAAGAAATGTCTGGCTTGTTATAAAGGGGTTTGAAAGTAAGGTTCAGTTAGGATTTTTAGGATACATTTGTGGTATCATGCCGGAATAGCACAAAGTGATTCAACTGAAAACAAGCTTTAATCTGAAATATTCCCGACTGTTGAAAATAGATAAAGTATTATTTCCTTTAAACGTACTCCCTCCCCGGCACGGTACAGGGCTGCAGGTGGATTCTAAGTGAGAGCGGAAGCTAAAATCACAAAATAATGTATTGGCATCTAGTTTTATAATGAACAATGTAACCCTGATTTTCTCGCTATTTAACATCGCTTGATGAACATCATAGTTCAAAAAACCGTTCTCGTACAGACCTTTCTAACTAAACGCCGCCGCGCCGCTCGTGCTCTTTTATGACTTAGAAGACAGAAAACAACAGAAACAGAAACGGCTTTCTTAGCTTTCCTGAAGTTATTTTTACAGAAGCTTGAAAAGCATCTGATAAAAGACTTTTTATCTCTGATAAACGCTTTATTAAACGACTATGGAACTAAGCTAGCCATTTGACGTTTGGCGGGACCACGAGTTTGACAAACAACGCGAACGACTCCAAGCCGAGCTGCTTAAACAATTAAATTAAAGGTGCATTAAACGTCTTTTGATGTGATTCAACACTAGTTCACTTCAGACAATTTCAGTTCAAATTCAGCAGCCACATAACTGATCCCCGTATATGTGACGAAAAACTTATAGGCGATGCCAAGTAAGTAACTCTTTGCTTCAAGAAAAAAATGGCGGTAAAAAAAATATAGAGTGGAGTTTTCTAAAAATAACTACGACTGACAGGTAACTTTGAAGTTCTGTACGTTGTGATTTGCTTTGAAAAGGCAGATTTTAATACTGTTCTTATTGAATTATATACTTTGTAAATTATATCGGTCCCATCGAATTCATATCGAGAGTCATCATGAAACAATGCTCGTTAATGTAATAGAAATGGGTAAACACAGTCCAATGGAAAACAAACATGACTGAATGCTGAATACAATTACCCTGTTTCTCAACCAGGTTTCTATCACTAAATGCAACTCTCGAACGTTGCGTTTTGTGAGGATGGTTAAGTGCTCCACACGGAGCAATAGTTCTACAGTAAATAGTTTTCTTTTTATACTGCATAAAAGGCGTAATTTCTATTTTTGGGGAAAATGCCGCGAGACGGAAGAGACTTTTTTCACTGATACGGCACTTTAATTATGGGATGCTCAGGGAGCAAACTTAGAAACATTTATGAAGCATAGAGAGGCAAAGTTTGGCGTTTTACAAATCGCCCCAACTACCAGCAAATTCAATTAGTTTTCATATGTGTTACACATTGGAGAACGTGAAGTTACATAAAAAGAAACACTGACAGCTTTGCTTTCTATAAACTTCCAAATATTTGCTCCTTCGGCATCCCATCTTTTACTGAAAACAAAATAATTCAAGATGGCAGCCTCATCAGTAAAAATGAAATAAGTCCCTGCCTCACCACAGGAAGCCCAACTTTCAATATAAACAAATCTTCAAAAATGCGTTAAATTGTTTAATCACGAATTGAGTTTTATATTTAAAAAAAAATCTTTACACGTTTTACAAGATTCATTAATTTTGTTATGATAAGGATACAGTTCCTATAATTTCAACCTTCTTCCTCAATACAGTCCTCAACTATCTTTTTGAGGTTGGGATTTTCCATTGCAGCAGCTATTCTCTCTTTGTCGTTAATTTGTTTGTTGACTGTGGGGGGAAAACACAACTGTCACATCCATGTTCCATGTTTCTACCAGCTTAGGGACGGACCATTAGATAGTTGATGGGGGGGGGGGGGGGGGATAAAAAAACAAAAAAAAAAAAAAAAAAAAAAAAAAAAAAAAAAAAAAACGTGCAAGGGTTGGGCCAAAAAAATAAATATCATGCAACCAAAATTCCTGCAACCCCCCCATCAATTATCTAATGGCTAATCCCTTATGAAAACGTGTAGAGCGTATCATATACTCATGACCTCATTTACGCATAGTTGGCACGGCATTAGTTAGCGTGCTCTGTGGGGGATGGATGGAATAGTATTTCAATGTTGAAGTTCAAAGTATCAAGAAATTCTCCTACAGAGCTTACTGCATGGAAGTTGTGTACGTGGATGACATGGTTATAGATTTTAATCTTGGGTTTTTATAACTTTTTTTCCAAATTATTTTTTGGTTCCTTTACAAGAGAATATCAATATTAATTTAATATTATTCCTCGCTTTATACAAAACTATCTGGTAGTAATTATGACAGGTTTTGGGAGCTTTTAAGAAGGCAAGGGACAACCAGAATAGCAAAACCTACAGCTTAAAATAAGTAAATATACATCAAATCCTGACTAATTAAGTTCACTATAAACAGCACTGTAACATTGGAATACTGTCTGTTTCTGCATGCAATGTGAATTCAAAGTTCAACCAGAAAACATAATTTTATAACATATAAAAAATGTCATAATGGAATGAGAAGTCAACAATAATTTTAAATGTGTGGACAAAAGACAGCGTGTACAGGTAATCTTTTGGTTGTGGTGTGAGCTGCAATGTTCAACTTCAAAACAGTGCATGTAACATTCTGGGTCATACATAGCAGCTGGGGGGCACAGATTATAGCCCCCCCCCCCCCCTTCCCCACCCCAAATTAAATGAGGAATATTTTTCAAATTTCTTAAATTGTATATAATTTAAATGCTTGAAATGATAATAAAGCTTGCAACCCTAGCGTACACGATAAAACAAACTTTGCATAAACAACAATGCAGTTTCAGGGTAATTATTGTCCATACAAACTAGGTTTCAATCTTACCTCCCCCCCCCCCCCCCCCAAAACACTGTGGTAAATATCTAAGTGTTGTAAACTTACTTTCTTGTTCAGTTGAGTGTGTTCCCTTGGCCAGGAAAATGTCCAGCTTTTTAAATAAGAATAAAAYAAAATTAGTTGGTAAAATAACACAAGATGTCAGATTTTACAGGAAATGACACAACTATACAAGTCTTGTGATTTTTAAATAAAACCTGCTTTCTATAAGCAAGCATTTAAATTTATTTATTATTGAAACAAGCAGTCAAATTGTTCAGAACTGCATGTTATATGTTGTTGATAGTTCCAAAAAAAGAAATGTTTTATATACTGCTAACATTCCTTTTTTCGATGGGATATTGATAATACCTTGAATTTGTCAGGCAGTGTTCTCTCCAGTTTGACCCTAAGGCAAAGACCTGTAAAAAACAATACTGTTAGCATAAATCCGGGGGGGGGGGTACTCCCCTATATTTGCTATACGGGTACATGCCGCCAAACAGGTATGGTTTTCAGCAATTCTACTCTGGAACAGGGTATATAAAATCGCGCTCGCTCTGGAACAGGGTATATGAAATCATGCTCTCTCCTCTCTGGAACAGGGTATCCATTTTTGCAATACCGCAACATGGTATGATTTTCAGTGATCTTGCTCTGGCACAGGGTATGAATTTCAGCGATTTTACACCGGATCAGGGTCATGGTTCAGTAGGCTCAGTTGCACATCCCTACCCTAAATGGGCAAGAGTACCCCCCTTGGGCATAAATACCCTGTTTTTATAAATTAAAATGCAAGTTTTAATAAGCTAACTGAGCTGTCAACTTTGTTCACGCTAGCTGGTCATGCTAGATGGTTTCTTATGTGGTTTATCCATCAGTAAAGAAGCCATTGGTCTTGGCTGGTTGCTTTTCAAGATCTGCTGCATCAACCTTTGAAGATAAAGGTCATTGACCTCTCTCTTGGAGATGTAAATCTGTCCTCAATCAATCAATTTGTTCATTAATGTAGATCTATCATGCAAAAAAAGTAGAACAAACTATGCTTTTGAATTTAAAATGCCGTAAAAAATAATTCTAATTAATAGACCCCTTGCCAAAATGGGGGCCGCAAATTGGGTTGAGTTAAAATTAAACTGAGAGAAAAACCAATACCATCCAATACCATCACTGGAAAGAGCACCTTTATTTTAGTAACTCCAAGAAGATTTATTATGTCAGGTGTTATATCGGCCGAGAAAACTGGCCGGCCATTGAAAATTGACAAATTTACAGGCGTTTATATGTCTGGGGGTATAGCGTATGCCCCCCATTCCCCCCCCCAGAAGCTTTTCTTACTGCTGTTTAGAATAGTAACTCAAGAAATCGATCTGAATTTTCTTTTTTATAGTCAGAGAATTTGTATGAGAATCTGAGAACAATATCAGAACTTTTTGGTGACCATAACACAATCCAACACGTTTTTGGCAAGCGCTCAAAAGGTGAATTCAATCACCTGGTTTCTCATAAATTTCAACTTTCACAAAATATGCAAAAGATCATGGATGAGTAATTACTTCACTTGGCTGAGAGGATATTTAATTCTAATATTCCTTACTGCAATAATATAAACCAGCAGCTATACCCTAAAAAATTGCATTTCATTGGTTGATGGTATCACCTTGTTGCCAGCATGTACTATTTTATCATTTCTTGCTTCCAGAGCCATTATTTCTTAGTATGCATGAGTAAGAATAGACTTTTAACAGTCTCTTTTTTCCTTTGTCCTGTTTTCAAAGCGCAGTGAGTGGGGGAGATTGAGGTTCCCTACTTTTCCTCTCCCTACATGCTGTTTCACTCAACCCCACTCCCCACATGACCAAGTTATGGAATAAACTCGACTCAACCCTTTTTTTTTTTACGTATCAGAATCAGAAGTTATTCAAAGCTCAGTAAGTGAGATATTTTCATTTTTATCTCAAAAACTGAAGGTAAATTAAGTGGCAAAGGACATAGAGTCACTTCCATCTGATTATGCAGTAAATAAATACAATATGTTTACACACCTATGAGGGTTGCCAAAGAGCAGTGTGGCACGGTAGGGGTAAAGATGATTGTTATGTGATTATTTCCTCCATTTTGCTCTACTCTGATATTATCTTCTGATACAACATTCAATTCCTCCAAGGTCTGAGGCTTTTCTGGATCCTAGTGAAACATTAATACAATAGCTTTACTTCTAGATAACCCATAAGTTAGGTATATATAGCTGTGTGAGTAAAAGAGTTCCTAAGAAGGAATTGCAGGGGCAGATCTAGTGTGTGTGTGTGTGGGGGGGGGGGGGGGGGGGGGGGGGGGGGGGGGGGGGGGGGGGGGGGGGTAAGGGAATCAAGACTATGGTGTCAACCCCCCCTACCCCCCTCCTTTTTTTAAAGTTTAAAAATGAGTTTAGAACTGAAAACATTGACATAAAATTTCACTCAGTTTACTTGAAGCTCTCAAATTCAATATTTTTCACGACCTTCCACCTAATGTGTTACAGGACACAAAGGTTCTTGCAACTTGCCTCATAATTACAAGTTGTGTATTTCTGGTATAGTCCAGGATATCAAGGGTTCAAGAGTGGCATAACAGTAGTGCACTCACCTCTCGGCTCCAGGGTTTGATTCTTAGACTCAGGTCATAAGTGAGTAGAGTTTGTTAGGTCTCAACTCTATTAATTTGAGGGTTTTCTTCAGATTCTCCAATTTAGTCAGAGGTTTTACCTTCTCAGGTAGTAAATTAGGTTTGGTCTAGACTTGAGGTATTAATCAAACCCATATTCAGGACAGGATTTCTAGATACATTGCTATGATAACGTACCTTAATATCTTTGACGAGATCTGGGGATTTAGTCAGAGGTTTTACCTTCTCAGGTAGTAAATTAGGTTTGGTCTAGACTTGAGGTATTAATCAAAGCCATATTCAGGACAGGGTTTCTAGATGCATTGCTATGATAACGTACCTTAATATCTTTGACGAGATCTGGGGGAAAAACAACACATTATTAGCCTTAATCAAAGGTCATTTCAATAAACTGCTCTGGAGAAAAGCAGAACTTAATCCAAACATTTAATGCTAGCAACCATTTACCGTAGACCTCCAGAGCAAGATCTATATTTTGCTGGCATTGCTCAGTCGTCAGATTACTACCAGTGTTGGTATCGTTAGGTGTTTCTTTGGACATCATTCAACCTCTCAACACCGCCATCTTGTTTTTGGACCGGCCGTGGACTTTACTATGAAGACTGGGAACTAAAATTGTCACAGGTAACCCAAGAACCTTTAGCATATTGTATTTCAACGAAATCTACTGCTGTACGGTTTGGATCGACATCTTGGTTAGCAACCAAAAATAAATCAAGTAATTTTTCCTCAAAGATTACCAAGGGTTTGATTCCAAGTGAATTCGGGACCGTCACTTGGTTTCCGTAATAGCCAGCGTCCGCAATAACGAGAATTAATTACGGTCATTTCTTTGTCATTATTTTTGCCGGGGATTTTGCTCCTGTCCGTATAAAATAGAGAGGAGTCCGTAATATCAGGGTGTCCGCAAGGCGAGAGTTGACTGTAGGTAGGGGGTGGATAGGGAGATAAGTGAGTGGGTAGGTGGGCGGATGGTAAGGGTAAAAAGGTGAGTTGTACGTAGTCGGGTGGTGAGGGAGAAAGGTGGGTAGAGAGATAGGTGAGTAGGTAAGGAGATAGGTCGGTAAAAAGTTAGGGGGATAGATAAATACGCGAGTTATTACGGGAATAGTGAGAATTCTTTGAACATTTAAATCTTTAGAATAACCCTCTTCTCTTCTCTTATTTATTTGTCTTTTCCTCCCACAAGGCACTTCCATATTTCCTCCCCATTCTGGCAACGAGAATACATTCTATCAAATCCTCAGGGAATTCAAACGGAATTTTGCGAGCAAAAAGTTTGTTTTTCATCTTTTTCCCCAACACCCAACATAAGTCTTTCACATGTATCCAACAAAGGCCTCGTACCCAGATTCCATGACATTCCATTCCATGTTTCATTTTGCTAATAATCCACCGCAAGGCCCGCGATATTTTACATGGTTGATTCCCAGGGATCCCCCCTGGGGCAAGTGGGTGCTGCTGTAAGGAGGCGTAAATAGTCTCATCAGGAACATAGGTGTCTTTTATAAATTTAATAGTCTTTTCCAACCTTGCTGTAGGAAACGAACCTCTCTAATGGCGACAATGTGGGTCGACCCTTTGTAGATGGACACATTGTGTGGCGGTGGTGAGTTTTTAATGAGTGTTCTGCAACCTCGAGATTTCGAGACTTGCTTTATTCGACGTTTAAAATGTTTACGCATTGGAAAACTTTCGATGCTATTTGCGTTGTTAAGCATTTTTAATGCTTCTACGATTTCGTTGTTCTCGTATAGCGGAAAATCTTGCCCAATTAAACTAATACAATATTTCCATTTCACCGTTGATTCCAAAAGTTCTCTCATGCATTCTGACTGAGCTTGAGCTAGTGAAATATACCCCCATACAACATCAATCCTCTTGGCTGCAATAAAAACATTGGGCAGACAGCGTATTATGGCCTTAATGGCTCGATAAAAAAACTCTGAGGATTTCTTGTCGATGTGAATACATTAAACATTGTGTGGCATGTAGATAGCCCGGAGAATCGATCCTATCAAAAAGGGAGGCACCTTTGTAGATTGTGAAGCCATAAGCGATTGGTAAGTTTGCTTCTTCTTCAGTCACGTTAGGATGAGCAAAACAAGAGTGTAAAATATGGTCGCAATCTTCAAAAGGCTTGTAGAGGTCGAGGATTTTAAAGTTGTGATTCTTTGTAATTGAAGTTCTATTTACTTTTTCTTCTCCAGATGTCTTTTACACCTTTTCCATCTTGATTCCTGTAACAAAAAGTAACTCTAACTTTTTTGGCAATTTGTTTGACCTTTCAATTTAACTCGAAATGTTTCCATCTAGTGGTGTTGTTTTTTCCCCCTTGTGTTATACTGATAAAGTTCCTGTAAATTTGGCGGGAGGTTTCCGGCGGGTCAAAACGCACGCGCGCTGCGACTAAAACTTCGAATACATGGCAGGGACACATGGGGAGCCCAAAGTTTTGTTGATGTTAAATATATTTTTTACGCAAAAAAATTACATTATCTGACGAATGAAGAGATTTTTTAAAATCTCAGTCACGGGTTTATGAAAATCACTCTAAATAGGTAAAACGATGTTGAGATCAATTTTTACAATAACTTCAAATTTTCTCGCGCGCTGATTGGTTATTTCTTATCATCAATAAGAGGACAGACAGATAAAGCTGACGTCAACGAGTGCGCCTCTTTCCTTTGGTTGTTTTGTCTTGAAAAAGAGAAGTTTTATTGTTTTTGTTATTGTAAAAAACAAATAGACATCTTTTATGTCTCAAAAATTCATCAAAAATATCAAATGAATATATAAGAATATTAATATTAATAAAAAATAGATAAATAGTATGATTATACTAAACTTTACTCATTTCTATTCATATTTATTATATATAGCCCTGAACCTTTTATATATAAATAAAATTAGGAAAATTACACGTTTGAACAGATATGCATTTTAAAAAACCCAGTAATCAAGCACCGCCAAGCAGTGCTGTTGAGATTGGCCAAAATAAACGTTAATAATCATTGTCGACTCGTTCTTATTGTTTTGTTTATATATTTTCTCCAATCTCGTATGCAGAGCCTGCGTTTCTTCCGGCCTGCGTCGAAGAACGAGGACTCTCTCTCTATTTTAAATAATTTGCCATAAGGCAGGTGCTACACAAAAGAACGATTGTCCCGTACGAGGCGCAACACCATATTTTATATTTAGTTTTATCAAAAAGAAGCAACCAACCTTTTTTAACTCGCTTCCATCGGTATAAAATCATGTGTTATTTTAAAAAGATATTTTGAACAATAAAAAAACGTTTCTTCTAGAGACTGGAATGACTAAGCTATAACCAACGACCGTGTTTACATTTCTTTACAGACTTGATGACGTCAGGTCCATACCAGTCGGATAGAAGCTTGATGGGGTTGTTAGGGCAAAAGACTTGGACACCCATAAACAAACAACGTCGAAGTGGAAAGAAGTCTTTCTTGGCAATTTCTGCTCGGTGTCCTTCAGGAGCCGTTACAATAAAATCACCCAATTCAAAGAAATTAAATACGTCCAAGAATGCGYCTCGGTTGTAGAGACGAACCAAAGGTTCTTGAATAGAACAACTATCTATGTGACTGGGAGCGATCTACATTGGTAAAAAAACACAACATCAGTCGATTAATACTCTGTTAGAAACAGAGAAAAGATTACTCAAGTTAACATTAAACTAATCAATAATCTATTACTAATTAATAATAATTAATTTTTGATGATCATTGTGATTGTACTAATGACGATGGGGTTGGGGATGATAGTGATGGATGTGAAATAATAGGGATGCGTGTAGGTGATGACATGGCAGATAGGGCTTTCCGCATATGATAGCGAACAAATAGTGGTCTGAAACCATTGCTTTCTCTCCCTGTTGCCGTAAACAACAACGAATGCAAATGCAGTAGCATCCATAAGCCCTGCTTTCGAATAGGCCTTTTTACTGATACGGCGACCATCTTGGACAGAAGCAGAAAGTATATAAAGCACAGAGTGGCGGGGTTACGTTTTCAAGTCTTTGAGTCTCGTAATTTTTTCCAAATACCAACAAATTCAATTTGCTTTTTAGATGTGCTTTTCATTGGGAGTAAAGTCATATAAAAAGACACCCTGAGAACTGTGCAGTCTATGAATTTTCCAACTATTGCCCCCTCTGCATTCCACGTCTCAATTGAGTCCAAGATGGGAGAGAGAAGTTAAGAAACTATGCGGAATGTCAACATCGAAAGGCACCGATCCGACCTCATTATACCAACACATCGACTGTAGAGAACTGGATTCCTCGCAAAACCTTAAAGATACAGCTAATACCATCAATAATGCTTCTTTGTCTGTGATGAGTGAGTTTGAGCCTCTCCAGCCTAACACCACTGAACAAATCACCGATGAAGCTCCTCCCCTTCAAGTATCTGAAACATGTGTGTTTAAGAAGCTGTCTTCACTTAACCCATCTAAAGCAACTGGTCCAGAGAGCGTTCCTGCATGGCTCCTAATTAAAGAAAATGCGGACTTGCTTGCCCAGCCAATTGCTGATATAATCAACTTATCTTTCAAAGATGCAAGACTTCTTCAGTCGTGAAAAGAAGCTGACATTGTCCCCGTACCAAAGCAGAAACCCATCAAAGACGTGAACAAACATCTCCGTCCAATATCACTGACACCTGTGTTATCCAAGATTGCAGAGGACTATATGGTGGAATACATCAAACCTGACATACTAGCCAAAGTTGACGAAAATCAATACGGAACGGTTCCAAGATCCAACAATACCATTGCTCTCATTAACATGATTCATGCATGGCTGAGTGAAACAGACGGAAATGGTGCTACTGTCCGAGCAGCTTTATTCGACTTACGTAAGGCCTTTGACCCAAGAGAATATTATTACTTCATATTCTCTTGCTTTGACCTTATCGACCACAAGATCTTAATGCAGAAACTCTCGACTTTTGGCCTACCCTTTCCATTTCGAAGAAATAGTTTGTGAAAATGAAAATGTTTTCATTTTTACAGTTGTAAATCAAAGGTAACCCATGGTAAGCTCGTGAAGCGTTTTGAGTACCAATGAACTAAGATGATAATAAATGACACTTGGTGACTCATTTCATTGAGGGTATTGAGACGATTCGAGTAAGGCGATAGTCGGGAGTTATGTTTTGTGTAAACAAAAATTTATCAATTAAATTAAATCTATTTGATTATCTATTAAATTAAATTGGCTTCTGATTGGCTAGAATCCTTTCCTTTTCGATTTCTGGTTACGAAATTTTTCTACGATTGGGATTATCTGGACCGAGTCTAATCGATCCAATATATGACAAACCAGGCTGTTTTCGGATTCTTCTTCAAGGTCCAATAAAAAGAGCATAAAGTAAACTCTAAGAATACTCAAAATTACATGTGATTATGAAGTGATCGAAAATCCAAAATGGCTTCCTCCACAAACAACGTGCGTGGATTCTTCCAGTGACGTCACTAGGCGAATACAATGGATTCCATGGTTACGGGAATTACCCAAAACGATTGGCTGAGAAGCGTTATCCGAAAAATGCGAAATCTAGCCACCCCAATAGCTCTTCACGAGCTAAAAAGGAAATTTGTGTCTCGTATTTCTTGTGTCTCGGCCAATGTCCTTACTTAGGTCTTTACCTCCCAGTACAACCCGAACTACGACCTTAGCTTTGTTCACAACTAAGTACAAGATTGAATGCACAGAAATAGTCAAAAATTGCTCGTCCTTATATAACTAGGTAATCTTTTACATCACTTATCTAGACAAGTTCAACCTTGGTGGTTTGAATGTTTAGGTTAATTTAAAGAGGTATGTAGAGCAACTAGAAACTACAAGTAGATCTCCATAAGTCAAAACAGTCTCGGTTACTAAAGTAAACATGCTAGACTTGCAGAATCGTACGCAAAAAGCATATTCATGTAAACAAATCATTCCTAAAATTCTGTTGCATAACATTTGCAAGATCTTTAACATTTGAAAATATCACCAGAAATACCGTAAATTTTCAGTTTCGGAACTAAAAGAAGCTTGAAATCTGTACACAACAACGGTCAGAAGCAAATGAGCACATTTTACGTTTTCACCCATCATGCTTTGCAAACCCGTGTCGCACACCCCCTGCCGATCACGTGAACAAAACGTGCCTTCAACAATAGCAAAACCTGATTGGTTTAATTTACTGCCCAAACGAGTGCAAAACATGATTAGTTTACTGGCCAAACGTGTTGATTTTATTGGCCAAACTAAACGTTTAATTCACAGACAAAGTGTCGCGTTTCAAATTACATAAACAAACGCGAAATTTTGGCAGCGGTGAATGGTTGAACGAAAATGGTCAAAGTAATGTACAGATGCATAATGATGTTATTTTATTAATAACATGCCCTTTGGAAAACGATTTAAAGTTTTTTCTAAAACTTCGATTTTCCGAACTGAAATTTAATGCTGATTTCAAATCTCGAAAGAAAAATTGGGTGTCCCGAGCTTGTTTTCGAGATAATCAGCATTTAATGGAAGCCTACGCGCGAGCTTTTGGAGCAAAACTTGCGCCATCGGAAGTGAGCAGAAAAAAATTAATACCCCATTCACATCAAGGCTTAAACATGTTTTAAAGTGGTTTAACTAAAGAGATTTGGTAAACTATTTACGAACACTGCACAATCTTTGGTGAAATAATGCATGTAAACTATCCTTTGTCTTGCTCTGACAATATTTTAGAAAGTTTCATTATATTGTAGGTTTCTAGTTTCTCAATTTTCTTCCTAATGATAACATAGTTTAACTAAACACGTTTAGGTGTGAATAGGGTATAAGATTCATAATATATTAGTTATTTGTAGACTATATGATTGCACGAATGACGGCTAGGCAATCCTTCTACAATAATACATAGATATTTTCGGCAAAAAGACAGAAATACATTGATTTGTCATATTTTGTAGTTTCGGTGCTCTTAAAAAATCTCATAAAGTCGAACAAAAATCCCTACAAAAATCTATTTTTTCATGTGTTACAAATATAAACTTTTTCTAAAATGTTGATATAACCTAGATTTTTAGGAGTTTTTTCGAATGAGCTATTAAAAAATAGAGAGTCCCGTGCAAAATTTGAGGGTTTTGCCCTGTTGAAGCTCAAAACGCGTATGGTTCTTCAATAAAATCTTGTAGATTTTTCAGCGGTTTTTGAGCGCGCGCACATCGTGGGCTCAAATCGAAACTTAAACGCTTTATATATCATGAACAGTGCTCATTTATTTATTTATTAGTTTCGCCATATGTTAAACTGGAAATATAATAATTGAAAAATACTGTGTTATATATGACAGGGTGACCGCAACAGCGTTAAGCCAATAGCGATGCGCGGACGTGACGTCACTAAAATGTAACGTAATACGAGGGTCGGACATTCGAACCGGATGTACTATACATTTACTATAATATTGTATGGCAAAACAAGATAGTTTATTGAAGAAAAAAGTAGTTATTTTGACCGAAAACGACGACGTTCCTGGCTCAAAATTTACCAGCTGCCCTGAAGATTATACGGTTGAGCAACTAAAGCGCTGGTTAAAGTGCAGAGGCCTAAAACAAAGTGGCAAACGTCAAGAGTTAATCACT